TGTGTGAGGGGCACGGCCTGGAGCTGAACCGGGGTCTCCCAGGTGGTGCCTGTGTGTGAGGGGCACGGCCTAGAGCTGAACCGGGGTCTCCCACGTGGGAGAGGAGAGCTCGTGGAGTTTTTGTTCCGGAACAGCTGGTAGCTCCGAGGGGTTCTGGTGGCAGGTTCTCTTCCCCTTACTAATAATGAGATCCTTGGAAAGGAAATGCACCGACACCCTCCCCCATGAGACTGCCTCCTTCCTGTATGACACATGGGTCCTTTCCAGTCACTTTCTTTCTGTGGGGACTGTTTGTTGACATCATTCAGAGACCGTAAAAGCCACCTGTCTGAAGCACACAGCCCAGGTTTTTAGTCTGTCCACAAGCTGAAGGCCACTATCACCACCATCCAATTCCACAAGCTTGTCATCACGCCACGAAGAAATCCCTTATCTGTCAGTCGCCCGTGTGTCCCACCCCCAGCCCCTGGCAACCACACATCTCCTTCTGTCTATGGACACGTCTGCTGTGGACACTTCTCTGTGGGATCACGCAGTGTGTGGCCTTCATGTCTGGCGTCTCACTGAGCATCACGTGTTCAAGGTCCATCCACGTGGCAGCAGCTATCAGAGCCCCACCCCTTCTCACACCTGAGTGACATCCCTCTGTCCTCGACCGCAGGAAAGCTCCTTGGAAGCGAGAATGGCCGGACTTTGTCTTTCGTACTTTGGACGTGGTATCAGGAGAGACCAGTCCTGGAGGACATCATGCTGAGGAAAGCAGAGGGTCAGCAAAAAGGGGAGACCCTCTGAGATGGACGGACCCAGCGGCGGCAGCAATGGGCTCGGGCAGCCTGCGAGGCTGGCGCCGGGCCGGGCAGCGTTCTGTCCTGTTGTACACGGGGTCGCTGAGTCACAGCCGCCTTGTCGGCACCTGCCAGCCGCCCATGGACAGGCTGCACCTCATTCACCCATTCCCAGGTAGGGACACTGGGGTGTGACCACTTTTAGCAATCATGAATAATGCTGCCCCAGTCACCTTTTATAGGTGCCCTGGTGACCGATTCAACAGGGCTGCAGACTGGAAAAGGATGGTGGCTCCAACCCATCTAGCAGCTCCACGGGGGAGACACTTGGCAGTCTGCTCACATAAGATGACAGCCTTGGACACCCTGTGGGCGGTTCCACTCTGTCCTCTAGGGGCGCTGTGGGTCAGAATGGACTCCAGGCAGTGGGTGTGGTTTGGGCTTTGCTTCTGTGAAGATTGACAGCCTTGGACACCCTGTGGGCAGTTCCACTCTGTCCTCCAGGTGTGCGGTGAGTCAGAATTGACCCAAGAGCATTGGACCTGTTTCTCTGGGAGTCCCTGCATGGTGCACACAGTTAACGTCCTCAGCTGTTAACCAAAAGGTTGCAGGCTTGAGTCCATGCAGAGGTGCTGCGGAGGAAAGGCCTGGCAAATGCAGCCACTGAACCCCAACAACCCCGTTGTGCAGTGAGACCCAGAGCTATGGGGTGGCTCGAACCCATTAGCTTTGACTGGCCGTGAGCAGCAGCAGCTGACGGGTCAGAACCTTCCTCCAGGGAGGAATCCCAGTCTGCCTTTTCCAGCACCGTTTCCCTGGAAACATCCTGGATTAAACAAAGATGAACGTCGCTGTGTGAAGACAGCCCATCCTTGGTGGATGTGGAGGGCACAGCCCGTCCTTGGTGGACATGGAGGCCAGTGGGTGATCACCGCAGACCAATGACATTCTTGACCAGAGCTGTGTGACGCCCTGCTGGTAAACAGACCTTGGCCTTGCTGCATGTTGTCTCTTGCAAACATGACGTCTCTCTGGGGGCTGGGGCTCTGCCCCATTAACTGTTGGGAGACTCCTGCTGTGTGTGGGGCTTCTTCTTTTCCCTCCCCTCCCACACGCGCCTCCTCCTTCCTCCTCACCACCTGTCCTACGGGGCTGGGACACACTGTAGGACTCCTGGGCTCCACTGGAGACTCATCTGGTGCACATGCTGACCAGTGGTGTTTCTCGCCCTGTATCTACTGATGGCACTAAGTACACCTGGGTCCAGGGGATGCCCCCAGAGCACGAAGGCCCATCTGAGTCAGGATCCGACTTCCCAGAGAAGCAGCCAGGACTATCCCGACAGGAAGGAGAGCTCAGCGGCTAACCAACAGGCTGGTGTCCAACCTACCCAGCAGCTCTGTGGAAGAAAAGGCCTGGCCATCTGCTCCCGGAAGACGGCAGCCCAGTGTGAGCTGAACATTTGCAGCAAGCACACTCACTCCTGGGAGTGATCCATCATGGACGAACAGAAGGGCTGGGTGTGCACAGGGAGACAGCTCGGGAGGCAGGAGAGCATGGAGGGAAGGACACAGGGAAGAGGTGACTGTGGGGAGGAAGTGGGAAGGGAGCTGCTGCATTGTGGGAGATTGCAGTCAACGTCATGAGACAAAGTGTATGTGAACTGCTGTATGGAAAGTGAATTTGCTCTGTAAACTTTCACCCAAATCACAACAAAAGTTAAGAAAAAGAGATGACAGCCTAGGAAACCCTGTGGGGCAGCTCGACTGTCCCATGGGGTCAGAATGGACTCAACGGTACCAACAACCAGGCCAGCAGGAGGGGACCTGTCACCCTCAATGATGGCAGAGAGGCTTACCTGGAATACGACCCACACGGCATAGATCTGGGCTGCTTCCTTTGTCACTGACGGGGTCTTAGCCCAGATGTCCGAGAGGCGGGCCCGCCCGGTGACGATGTCCACCACGGGGGCCGTCAGGGAGCAGCTGTACTGGTTGCACGCCATGATGAAGTAGTACACAATGAAAGGCGCAAAGAGCAGCAGGAAGATGACGCTCGCTAAGGAGAACCAGTCCACCTCCCTGCAAGGCAGGACAGCCGACGGTCACACAGTGCCCACCTGACCTTCACAAGACACCAAGGTGCCCTCACACACAGACAGTGTGCACCGTGTTCAAACCGGCTGTCAGGTGCCGGTGACAAGCCCTCCCCACTGCCAGGAGAAGCCACACAACATGCGTGCTCTGTCGTGATCAATGGGTCAGTCCACCCAGAAAATGTTGGTGTGTTTGAACGTTTAGAAAAATAACTGAAATGTGTGTGACAGCTCAGATGAGCAACGGAAACCCTAGTAAACAGAAAAAGCCAGGTAACTGTTAACTCCAGGAAAACCAGAAAGTCACACCACAAAAAACCATCATCACAGTACGTGACTGCTCACAGAAAGCCCAGCGCCCAGAATACAACTGGGGCGTCCCCAGCTCTGGCCACAGAGCACCTGCATCCACAACCAAGTTCCCACGGCTCTACAACAAAAGGAGAACTAGGACGGCAGTAGCTACGGGCAGTGAGGAAGGGCACACAGTAACAGTAACAACAACAACAACAAAGTTTATTCCAGCTCACGGCAACCCGTGCGTCAGAGTAGAACTGGCCCCACAGGGTTTTCAATGGCTGATTTGGGGGGAAGTAGGTCGCCAGATCTTTCTTCCAAGGCACCTCTGGTGGATGTGAACTTGCAACATGTCGGTCGACAGCTGGCGGCTTCAACCATTCAACCCACCAGGGGCTCTGAGAGGTAGCGGCTACCCCTTATTTCAAGGCCACATCCTTCCTACACTGTTTGGCAGCAGTAGCTTTTCATTTCTCCCTCTTTTTTAAAATTCCCTACTTTATAAAACAGGAAACTGGTCGTCATCTTCCGTTACTCTTGAACAAAATAAGAAAAAAAATGATTATTTTTACCTTGTGAAAAAGAAAACCCCAAAGCTGGGGACTGCTTACTCCGACCACCTACTTCACAGTACAGTTGGGAAGACAGGCAAAGGTCCTTACCAGGCACGACCCCACTGCCCTTGGCATTCAGCCCGGCCATTGGAGACGTTGCTTGGACTCTTGGTTTTGGGAGCGCTGGGCTGGGATCTCGCAGCCATTGGGGCCTGAGGGAAGAAGGGACACTACTCAGATGGGCCCAGCGAAGAGCAGATGTTCCATGAGACCCGTGCAAACCCCGCCTCACCCACACCTCTTCTCTCGGCCCAGTGCCTGACCAGTGGAATCCAGGCAGGAAGGGACGGCTGCCCCCGGAGCCTCTCTGCTGCAGCCCGGGGGCAGCCTCCCACCTGGCCTTCCCATTTCTCTCCTTGCTCCTCAACCCACTCTCCAAACAGCAGAACAGCTTCCTCCTGTCCTAAACCCAATCACCGAGGCCCCACCTCCTCTCGAGTTCCACTGCCTCTCCCCCCACTTCCCAGGGCTGTCCCTCCGCCACTCTCGAGCCGCCCGAGGGTTTCCCCGGTGCTTGCATACGGCTGATCTTGCTCATCCTGGGATCCTGCCTCTGCTTAGAGGGTTCTTTGCAAGGGTCCCCATTCTTAAATCAGGGCCTATTCACCTCCACCCCCAGCGCCTCAGTGTCGTAGAAGGTGGTCACACCACAGAAAAGGCAGGAAATGGAACTGCCCCACATGCCTGAACTGCTCGGCACGGCTGCAATTATGGGAAGTGGCACACACCTAACCGTGATGTTTTAAAATAGCACGGATCAAAGTTTTCAGAGACTGAAACCAGGACCGAGAGTCAGGACAGCCCTGGATTTTTCATAGGAAGCTGGATTCCAGAAGACAATGTGGAAAACGTGAAGGATTCTGAGGGAACTTCTCAATAGGGAGGCCCGATTCCCAGGTCGGCTTATTTAGAAGGATGACCCGGGAGCCAGGAACCTGAGGATCCAAGAGAAAGGCCAAGGGACATCCCAGACGGTGGCCGTGCAGCCAACGGAGACGCCTGTGGGAGCTGCAATGATGGGACTGCCTTGTTCTTCCCGCCTTTGACTGTGTGCAGCCTTACTTTTCTGGGGGTTCTTGAGTTCTCCTTCTCTGACAGGTTTTCACCTTACGTGCGTTCCAGCTTTCAGACTCTACTGTATACCAGGTGACAAAAACATAAACGTAATTTGGCTAAACAGAAAACAACGGTAGCTTTGCCGTAACAACGTAAGCTGGCACTGACTGTTGAAGGTGTGGAAGGCAGGCTGTAGAGGTGGGGGCCGTAAACACAAATTTCTATTTTCTTTAGAAATCAGCAGGTAACAACAGCAACCAAGTACACAAAAGAATGAAGTGTTTGCTCCCAGGGAGCGAGACCAGGGTGGAGCGAGGGAGGGAGGGAGTCCGTGGAGCAAGGCTGCGGAACGTCATTCATGGAAGCTTTTTTTTAGTATGAACACTAATCATGGCAACAGAAGCACATTCATTTGTGAATACCTGACTGCACATTTTCAGGACACAGTGAAGGACAGCTGCATCGCTTTATGTAATGGACACAGGATGAGGGAGTGCCTGACATCACAGAGAGGGGTGTAGGGACTGGTTCTTCGCGGGCAGGGACCCCTCACCTCTAGCTGTAAGCACTGAACAGAGAGCCTGCAACTTGCTGACTAAAGGTGTTGCCATTGAGTTGATCCGACCCACCACGCCCCTAGAGGACAGAGGAGAACTGCCTCACGGAGTGTCCAAGGCTGTCAATCTTCACAGAAGCAAAGCCCGAACCACACCCACTGCCGTGGAGTCCATTCTAACCCACAGCGCCCCTAGAGGACAGAGTGGAACTGCCCACAGGGTCTCCAAGGCTGTCAGTCTTCACAGAAGCAAAGCCCAAA